CGCATAACACACCCCTATTGTTTCACGAACTAATGCCGGTGAGCCGGAAATCGAATCGCATCATCGTAGACCTTCATGGCTTACAGCAGGCACTTCATCGGGGCTCCGAATGAGTAGGCACGGGGGAATTTCGAGAACATTCATCTGCGCAAACGGGAGCTTTGTTCCTCTGGATTCTCCCGAGATCAAACGAGTATCTTGCTCGGAGAGGTAATGTCACGCGAGGCGGCGATGGACATTCTCGCACCGTGAATCAACTTCGTTACAGTAACGAGCATGTATCTGAAATCAGAGTCGCTGCGAAGCTCCGCTCAAAGGCACAAGTCGTCAAGTCACCGGTGCCGCGGACGGCTGACCCATCCACGGCAGGACGTATAGCTTGGGGCAAGCCTCAGCGTTGCGGACGTATCGTCGCAATGCGTAAGGTCTGGGGTGCGCGGAGGAACGGCGGAATCGGTCGGGGAGGTTGCGGTAGCAATGGGAAGATTTTTCAAGATCCATGTTTCTTCTCGGATCCAGGCGCCCGGTTCCTCCGGTCGTCCGGACGCTCGCCCGACTTCCTCGGTCGCTCGTCGTTTGCAAACAAGCGAGTGAGCAGGTGAATCGGAAAAGGCACACGTCTCACGAGGCCGTTGGGTTCGAAGCCGCCTCACGCACAAAGGGGCACATACGCTCAACCTCCGACTTTAACTTATTGGTAGCATCGAGGGAGTTGCTTGAAACAAAGAAAGAAAGGAACACTGTTTGTGCCGGTAGCCTCGCCGCCTCCTATTCTTGTTTCCTTCCTTGTCGATTCCCAAACTACTATTTCGTCTCACCGCTGCGTCACTGCGACTTCATCGACTTTCCGCGTCTTCTCAGATTAAGGTAGGACTTCTCTCCCCGGTTGTTGGACAGACTGGAGTAACCTTTTTGAAGGAGTTGGAGCCCTGCCTATGTGAGAGCGCATGTGCCTGGCTATGAAACCGAAAAAAAATTCCGCGATCGAGTGACTTTTCTCCACGAGCACTCTTCATGCCCCTCGATCTGAAATCCACCGAGGAAGCCTGGAACATTTCCAAATTAAGTTGAGGGCTCGCTGGTTGAGCGCGGGAAATCCTGAACAGTACTCGACCTGTGCTCACCGATTAGTACACTTCCACAGCCCGCTCATCCGGCGGATATTCTCTCTGGTACTCCTCATAGAATCCGCATGGCCACGATTGGTTTCCGGTGTTCTAAATTAAAGAGGATAGCTCGATGACATTGTCTAAGAAGTTTTATTCGTTTGACCAACAGTGTGTCCATCCATATACGCGTATGGAGAATGGCTCTCTTGCTATTCCTTGGAAAAGTCTCAGATCGTGATATCAATGCTCCTTGCTTCATCAAAATTCCGATCAGCAATATTCGAATATAATTATATTTGTCGACGCTTGATTACAATGGTCATTAATGAGGGGGAGACAATCGCAATAATAATCATAATAATTTCAATGATGAGGATGGTCATCACTCTCGCTAATGAGATCGCGATAATCGTTCTAATCTGCTGCTCTGTCCGTTCGTGGTTATGATATTCGGGAATTTTTTGCATCGAGGAGCCGATCGCATCCCCACCCCGAGAGATTACTGATCGTAGCTGAAATATCTTCAAGGCCCAACCCCCCCCCCCCAACTTAGAAGATACTGAAGAACCAGGATTGTCTTTATCAAAATTTCTCGCTGCTTCCCACGGCACATATGTATATCATGTTACCGCAGTCGAGCGCTAGATCGATGAGGCTGAGGGGACTGCCCGCTTCCTCGTCCAGCCAGCCGCTTCAACGGCTTCACTCTTCAGAGCCTAGGTCAATTATAAGTTTCGAATCGATGTGTCGGGCTCAAGCTCCACCTCGGCGGGGATACAGAGGAGGGACGGGAGACGACAGAGAAACAGATTAGTCGGATGTAATCCATTCAAACACTCCAGACAGCAGCAGTTCCGCGAGCTTCCTCGGGAGGATCTCGAATAATTTCTAGACATGGCTCCGATAAATCTTTGCAGTCGGTCAGCGAGCCTCTGATTGGTAGGGACCATCAAGGTCTCGAAGGTCCATCGAGTCTCGAGATCCTGACGCTCCGTAGGTCCACGCTGGACTGCTGGTGCCCCTTGAACATTCTCGTGTATCCTGGCTCTGCATTCGAACAGTTTCACATAATAATGAGGATGATTAACTTTTCTCGATGACAATCAAAACAGTGAACAGCGAACAGAAACAGATGGTTGTCATCTAACTGTTATAGTATGAAGTTGTGTCCTTTCGGAGTCTGCTCAGCTTTGTATTCGTTCTGGTTATTGTTCATGACCGCTCTCTCTATCTAGACAACACTGGCGATCGGGCAAAGACATCGCTGAGCCTTTCCGCTCAGCTAAACGATGCTGTTTTCATTCCTCTGCACCCACCACTCATTCATGACTTATGCAGGTAGTCAAGCACGCTCCTATTGATCATATCATAGATTGTGTGCTCCTGGATTTCACAAACTTAATCTGATGTCAAGCATTTCCAACTAACAGTGGAATCCTCAAGTCTAAACGACGGCACGCGAGAATCACTTCAACAATAGCCGATAAGTGTTCGCGAAGAAAGCGGCGTCAATGCTTTCGAGAATCGCTTTTTCCTGTGGCTATTCTCACGTAGAACTTATAACAATAAAATCATGACACGTATTGATTCATGATAAGTCTCCAAAGTATACCCATGAGCTTCAATAGATTATGTTGATGATCATCACACAGATTACGACTATCGAGATGAATAATCGACACGACCATCACTTACACGGAGAAACCGATCTGGTCGAGTGAAGATCAACCCGAGCTGCGCATAAAACGCCTGATGAAGCAATTGTGAGCTATTTTTTTCAACACAGACAACTGGCGCTTACATAAGTGACAGACTCTGCAGGTAATCAGAATAATTATCATCTTCGTGGCCACCATGCCCTGCTCGCGGGAGGATGATCGGCTCTGCACAAGCGCTTAGGGACCATCGTGGACTAACTAAAGGGCATTCGACCTACCTGTTGAACTAGTGTAGAAATAGAGTCGTCGGCGATTCTCTCCAAAAGCCAACGACTGCCTCATTTTGCTAAGTTGTTGAAATCGTCAACATGTTCTGTGGTTGTAGAAATTGTCAACGGCATGATATCAGCAAGTCGATGGTATCAATGATTCGTGTCCGTTCTCACGGTATCGAGTGAGTATCCTGGTCCGTTTCCCTCTGTTCCACTGGAGCTGGATGTGAGTTTCGCTTCGATGGCACCAGAACCCCCTGCTCGGTGAGTTCCGTGCTCCGCCATCGACAAGTCGAGTAGACGTTACCCCCTCTGCTTTGAAGCTTGCTTCCGCCCATGAGTTTCATTCGACCTCGCTCATGGTACGATTACGGTGTGAAAAGGTTCCCGGGCGTTTCCATGTGCTTGAGCTATTCGGGAAACCGCCTCGAAATCAGCCGGTATTCTCAGATGTTTTTGGAGCGTGATTCGTTGATCTGATTCTTCGAGAAATTGCTCATCCTCCACAAAACTGACGCGATCCCAGCGACTAAGAAGAAGTACTGCGACCTCATTTCGTCCGATTCAACTTAGTTTCAGGTACAATAAAGGCGCTCTTTACGCGGTCCTCATTGAAGCGGACTCGTAACGTGTAGTGAAGTCGTGAAATACGTTCACCCTGGCAAGGATCGATTGACCCGCCGCCGTGTCTCGATCGGTCCGGGGACCGCAGTGATTGACGATATAAATCCTCGCCGTCGTCCAATGGAAATAAAAACCCGAAAATAAATTTCTTCCCCTTTGATCACATCAAGTCCCATGGGTTTTCGTCTTGTAATCCGGATCGGCCTCTGTCATGGTTTTCCTCCTTTCCTTACCGAGAAAGACGATGTCAGCGCTCACCGTTCCTCGGAAGCGCAGTCTCATTACTCCCGAAATCAACAAGCAGTCTTATTCCGTTTTGAAGATTCGGATTCCGATATTTCAGGACGTGATTCTCTGGAGAGCTTGACGATCAGGCGGGAGACGACAATTACGGAGAGCAGTGAACGTTTCGGGCAGATCGGACTCGGGAACTTCCACATTACGAAATTTGATCGGAAGTGAAACGCCGATACCGATATAACTGAGCCTTCCTGCTTCCTGGGATTCCCCGGAAGGTCGCCACAAGCTACTCTGAGGAAGTCTAGGTCCCATACCCGGGACGAGGAGAACTCTTTTTTCTTCGAGCGATCTGCCGAAACATTCCATCATCAAGCCAGCAGCCAATGCAGTCGTGCGAATAGTATTTCAAGAGAGATGAGTGTTTTGTGATTGAAATCAGGGATTATCCTGCTTCCATACGGCCCCAAGTTTTTCTTTGTTGCATTAAGGTTGCAGTGAGAATCGGAGTCGAATCCTGTCGTTTCACGGAGACTGAACGGTCGAGGTCGACTTCTAAGCGGATGCGGTTCAGCTTTAGTTGTTCGTCATCGAGGTTTTGCGTTGCATTGCATAGCATCCATTTGGCGTTTCCCGGAGAGCATTCTTCGAAACCCAGACTTCTCTCCTCGGAAGAACAGCGATCCCTGCCCCTCCCTTCTCAATTTTCCCAAATCGTATGCAATCTTTCCGTGTGTTTTCGCGTTGTCCCAATTATATCTCTGGCTCAAACGTGGAAATGTGATACAATGTGGAGATTGTTTTCCTCTTCATCGTGGAAATTGTTCGGGATTTTTGATGGAGCGATTCGTCGATTGAGGTCTCTCAAGAGCCGAGCTCGCGTGAATTTGTGGCGCACGAAGAATGGGTCCGCGTGATTATTTTACAAGATACAACCAGAAGTTCACCGATCGATAGCGATCGACCGGTTGAGAGCAAATTCAGAAAAGGTACACATCAATAAATATACTCTCAGTGATGTGTTCGTTTGGAAATCCGTGTAGCAATCTCTCCAGACAATCGTTCCATGGAGTAACTATTACACTTGACTGCTGGCGGCTTCACCGCCTCGAAAAATCATCGGCCACAAGGTCTTGAGGCAGTACATCGCTAATGTGCAGATAGATTATCCAGTACATGAGATTGAAGCACACAAAACAGACGGGGAACACGACCCGGCTGTACCTGTCGATGTCTGAAGGCGAAACTCCAAACAGTTTGTTTGGATTCTTGCAGAGGGCGGTATCCAAAGATCCGGGCGGCTCTGGATGAAGAAGTTGATGAGAGAACGGTAACGAGGCGCCGAAACTACTCATCGACATTCCCCCTCCGGTCGGAGGTGGACAGTGGCTCACGGAGTTTTCCAATGACGAAGTTGTTTTGTGCATGCCACTCTTGCTGTCGATCATGCGCAGACGCACCTCCTGTGGAACAAAAAAATCTGTGATATAACTTCGCTCTCAAAAAAACACCCCGATCATCGCGAGCACTGCGAGAATTTAATTGCGGAATCTGAGCTGAGGGATTCAACTCCGACCGATAGAGCGGTCTGCTCGTGCATATTCAGCGAGATAATTTCAAGTTGAAGCGCCGAATGTGTCCTCGGCTCGCGTAGTCACTCGGAGACTCTATGAGAATACTGTTCCAGATGGCGGCGGTACCCCCTACAATTTCACCGCGGGCGGATCGACGATTCAGTATGGTGCAGGTGAACGTGAGCGTGAAGTTGGAATCCATTTCGTGAGTGGAACCATATATCAAAGAGGAACACGGCAAGAGATGGAGGGAGACGGACGCAGCGACCTGACCCCGACTGAGCGGGTGACCGGATCGCTTTCCAATCGATCATTAATGTCTGCCTTACGCCCCCTCTGGTTGCTAATCGACCTCTTTCGGCTTTTTTTGTTTCAAGCCGGTCGAGGGACTTCGACCGCATTATCATGCTTTCCCATACGTCTGCTTGGGGATGACGCGAACATCGGTCGGGATTTCTTCCTCTCTTCGACTTCCGAAGCTCTAAAATAGAATAAAAGCATCCGACCGCAGATGAGGAATCGCTCCACTGGGACATCGAAGCTGCGAGAATTCCATTTTGGCCGTCGTTGAGATTTCCGGGAAAAACTCTCCACCCACGCTGCACGTTCGCGGTCGAGACTTTGTCCGCTGACCCCTTCGAGCGCGAATACTTTGGGCTCTGTCCCACAGGGACATGGAAGTTCACGAGAGCTTGATTGTAGCTCTCGACCGGAAGCGGAACTCACCGGAACTCGCGCTCATGTCTCGAAAAGGTCTATCGGCTCAAAGATCGATGACACCGGTTCTATGAGACTGTCTTTTAGCGAATTGTTAGCGCGCATGTCATTGAAGGGAATCTTTCTGAGAGCACATCGAATTTCCACGCCGACTCACCATAGGCATCGTTGGTTGTTGTTGCGGTAGCTGCGGAATCGGTTGAGCTGGGCAACCACAGCTCGTGACACTACCAAAGGTTCCAGCTCCAGCACAGCACGGATCCGCGGGAACTCCTCGACGTCGTTCATGAAGACTCTGTAAATGAAAAAATCATGCCACATGATGTCGACCACTGAGCGCCTAAGAGGACGCCGGATCGAACCCGATCCGGAGAGAAACTCTGGCGGAGACCCCGACGAGTATCCCCCCGGAGATCCGGAGGAGAAAGTTCCCCCGGAGCGGTCGGAAGGTGGAGCCCGCGAAGAAAAGACTCACCACGTAAGTTTGGCCTGAATCTCTGGGTGCTTGTGCCGCCGTGGGGCACACTTGACAAGCGCTCTGAAAGTCCACAAGGCAACAGAAGTGAGATTCACAACACCGACAACAACGGCAGCAAACGGCTATGACCGCTAACAACCACGGCGGCGGAGAGCGGACGGTGGCTTCTTGGACTCGATACTTGTATGAAAAGGCCGCCAGGCAGGAGAGAACACTCCATGAGCTCGAAAGCTGAGCGCACTTCCAACAACAATGTACATCGAAACGTGGCTTGTTTGGTCGTCTGATCAACAAGAGCACCTGGAGCTCTCGTTGCTCTCCCTCACTTACAACGCTTTTGACGAGTTGCGGCGAGACCTCTTGCGAAGGACTGCTCATGCAACTTTTGTCGTAGTGCGGCGTATGAGGAGTGGTGGCTCCCGGCGTATGAACCCTTGAGCCGGGAGTGCCCCCTGGGAATACGGAGCCTCCTTGGAAAGGTCCCAGGTCGAGTAGGCGTTGTTGCTCCGACAACTTGGCCATCTGCTGGCATCGGGTTCGTCTCATTGCGATTCGTTTCCCTAAATACCCTACGGTTGCGTACTCGAGGAGAGACGCAAATACCATCACGAAACACGTGCCTGAAATACGAAGCGAAAATCCGTTACGATCGACCCCAGCGGGCGTGGAGAGATGGATCGGAGCTTTTCCTCGTCCCTTACTGCGCCGCCCGCGTGCGTCCGCCGCGCGGTTTCTGCGCTACCATGTTTACGAGACTATCGAGAGCGTGCTCCGGAGGCCGGCGGAATCTTCGCCCTCTTTTTTAGTGCGCGAATTTTATCGCGTGACTTTCTCTGCACCCCGACGAGCACAGCGGCGGATCAGTGCTGAGCGAGTGACTCTGCTCAGCGGAGAGCCAACCAGCGAGCCAGCCAGCCGACTGGATGAGTCTAACGTACACGGTATTTGTGTCCTCTCCGTAGGGAGTGCTCGGATCGGCTTGTTGAGGTTGCGATGAATGGTTTTACGGTTGAGCAGAGTTTATCTATGCAGCAATGCATGAATTTCTATGGCCGGCCACAAATCACTTCGAGTCATAAGTTACTCCGCTCTCACCGAACAAAACATGAATAGTCTGACACAGACTCACAGCGACCGCTTTATCCACAAACTGCGCAGGCATTCGAGCTACGGAAACTCCTAATGCATTGGTTTGGCGCGGGTGAAACGGAAGGAGTCACGAGGAAGTGAGCTGCATCGCGCGTCAACAGCAAAATCAGCCTCCATGATCGAGCGAGCTCGCCCCCGTACAGAGTCGGGTCGTTGAGCCGAAATTTTTCGGGACCATAATATTTTTTCTTCCAGTTTTCGATCGGAAGCCCGGCGTCCGATTGTTATTCATCACTCGACTCACCAAGATATACATCGATTGATTTCACGTAGGAAATCTTTGGCAGAGCGGCGTTCGTTGACGACATCAGTGTGGTCATTGTCGAAACTGTTGTGACCCCCAGTGCCACTCGCGCTGGGGTGGCGTTACGGTGTAACCAGAACGAGACCTGCAATTAAAGCAGAAGATAGATGAGTCCCTCGAGTAATTATTATTGGCTTCGCTCTAGCCTAGCTTGAGGGATGGGCAGACTGAGCGATTGCGACGGAGGGGGGCGCTTGTATTTTTGTGACTGCACGCGCCGAGGAATCCATCAGAGCTCCGTGATTCTCAGCATCAATCTCTTGAATGACTCCGCTCGCGACAATCTGATCGGCGATCTCAGGATGCAGTCGCTATTTTCTTCTTCCTCGATCCCGACCTCTGTTTTGCTCTACCAAAGGCTTCTAGCGTCGCATCCTCCTTTGAGAGCACATGTTCTGTCATCGTTCGGCTCGCGGCTTGCGAGCGGTTGACGGCGTCGTGTCATCAAAATTGGTGGTGGTTTGAGCCAATATATCAAGGTGTACACAAGGAGTGCGACATGAGAATGACATGATTCCTTAATGCGCTAACGCACAGCTTCTGCTCCTCCGGTTGGTCGGTTTCCCGAGATCCAGCGCGATAGGAGATCGGGAGAATGCCTCGAGGATCTGCCGACGCAGTCTGTTGTTTTCCTCTTTTTTTTCGCGGATAGTTATCTGGAACACCGGAGCGCTCTTCACAGGGTTTCCGTCCTCGCGTTCCGACGCCAAGCGCGGAACACTCATGCATATTCCCCGAGGAACGCGGCGCCCTCGGGAAACTTCAAAGAGACGATCGACGTTTTTGGAGAGGATGGAGTCTGAGATCTGATGTCAAATTCGAAAAAGAAAGGCAGCAAGCCGGCAAGAGCGTCGTGAATATCTTCAGCAGGGGGCCGGTCTCAGAGATCGCAGGTTGACCGTGACTGGAATACTTGTGGGATCATTACGGAATTCGGCGCTCCGACGAGATGGGTGATGACAAGCACGAAGACACCGTCAATGAGGATGACGTACGCAAGCGGGTTTTTAGCTTTCCTCATCAAAGCATGCACGGAGAATTTCTCTCATGAGAGAGACATCTATCACGTGGATAGCTAATAATTGATGGAAAGCGATGAGCGTGGCTACTCACCCACGATATTACGACGATCAGTCCGGCCGGGATGTAGATTTGAATGAGGTAATAGCCCATCGATCTAACGAATCGAATCTCGCAAACTAAACGGGAGTAATTTCCCGTCGAGAGAACTACGGCTTTGGAACGTTGCGAGTGTCCCAAAACTTTGAACTGTGGAAGTTCAACCTCTTTGCTGATTCGTACGGACTTCTCACCCTCTGACCATCGATAACTGATGTCCTTCATCGTGTACCCGACTGAAAAAAAATCTGTGTCAAAAATTATTCCCCTCATTCAGGATCGATGGGCTCAGGTTCTCGCGATCGACGCCGTCGCCAGATTGATCCCATGGGGAACTTCATCCCTCCCGACGGCAATGAGGGGCCACGGAACGAAGGAACGACATCGTTTTGTGCTTCCACGCAGTCTGGTATGGGGTCTACGTAATGCCATGTCGGCGTCGTTCCTCATATTTGGTAGTGCCGTCGTCCTTATCCCGAAACCCTTCCCGTTGGACAGCACATCCTCTCCGACAACCCGACCCTCATACACCGTACCGACGCGACGTCGAAACCGGCACATTCAAAGTTTTCTACGAGACACGGACGGAGGATGCGAGGGGAAGGGGGTCCCTGAGGGGTACGTGGGCGGATGGACGAAGGGATGGGAGGGCGTCGTAACGCGCTGGGTTCATATGGCGAATGGTCATATCAACGAATATCTCCGTAGGGTTTTTCACGTTCTGCTCCGGACGTCCCTGGACGCAATTTTCGCGAAGCTGCGTACGATAGAAATTACCAACAAGTAACGGACCGAATCGGTGGCTTCGCTGGAACGACTTCTGGATACGTACGACTACCAGCCGTGTTCACGTTACGGCGGGGCACCATAAACACTTGTAGATGTGCGTCGTGTCATACGAATGCACGCATCATTCCGCATTTGAAGCTAGACTCGTTGTCCATGAGCGTAAGATGCTAAGGTACATCGGCCAGGGCTAGTTTGTGACGGAACATTTGACAGATATCCGACAGTGTTTCACGCATAAGTTTCCATGCGTGGACTGCCGGGCTCATCGCATCGGATCATTGAATTGTCAGATGATAGGGAACGTGTGCCAGGCCCGGTACCGTACACGAGAGAGTGGAGCCGCATTTACTCACAGGATTCAATTTCAATGGTGCATGATTGTCGGTCCATTGGAAAATAGCGCAGGTCCATAGGACAGCTAGCCGTAACGGTCAGTCTGGAAGGAAACGGGATTTCGTAGAGGTCGGCTTGATCGTGACGAAAAAATGGAACCGAGCGACCGGTTGGACCGACAGGCCAACCCGGAGAGAATAAGAACAAGAAAGCCCTTACGCATACGCAGGCCCGCTGAGTTATGGCCTGTCACAGTAGGAACCCCATAAGATCCGTACGCATACAGAATGTCGTCGTTGACGTTGTCGTACTCGCTCAAATGAACCTCGCTCGCCTCTAGTACGTCTCACTTTCTCACGAACGTCTCATCCACTCTCCATAAATATAGTACGTACATATGTACGTACGTATATGAATATGTGCCTACAGGTATGTGCGAGCGACTCCGCACTGCTTGGCGTGGCTGGGGTTTCATTCGTTCTGGGGTTGCTCTCCGGCTGCTCGGTCGCCTGTCTTCTCCGATTGGTCGGTCGAGTATCTGGCTCTTATCATTATTGGATGATCGAATGAATGAGACTTGTCGCTCGTCCTCCGAGGATAATCGGCAGCTCCGTATCTCGCAACCAGACAACCACGGAATTCGGCCACCAGTAATTGATGCATCCGTCTATCCATCAACGGTTTCATCTATTTGCGAACTTTCCCTCGGAAGTCCTGCCGAGTTCGTTCTCCTACCCATGAACCGTCGAGCGAGCCGCTCGTGGGCCGGAGCCGGCGAGCATCCGATTCACATCGACTTTTGTATCAATTTCAAAGCCCGGATCCGATAACGGTGCGCAGTTCGTTGCTATCTTTATTTATGCTTCCTAGGAAAATCGCGACGGCATCAAAGGCGTTTCAGGGAAATGCTGATCCCTCCGCGCCGGAAGCATCCCTGAGAAAAACGAATATACGAACCTAATGCTACGAAGCACGTCTCCGTTGTGTGAGATGCGTAAAAACGTGTTTGGGGTTGTGGCCGTGTGGAAGTAGGCGCTCTTTTCATTGGCGAAGAAGGTGTCGGGAACCCAGATCTTCTCCGCCACTTCAGCGCCCACAGTCATAGATTCGAGGTCGGGGAGTTTGGCGAACGACAATCGCTCGTCTCGCCACCTTTGGCGGAAGTAGAAATCTGAGGTGAAGTCCTGAAAAATTCAAAATCTCCTCCGTTAGTTTTCTTGGCGCTGATCCCCAACGAGGATATTATAGCCCCATCCCAATCCCCAGCGACTACGCATTTGATTCTTCATCAGCTCATAGTCATTGATCAGCCATCATGATCGGCTCGTCGAACGACTGTCGCGACGCGCTCCGTCCTCTTGAGGATATGATCGTGAATGAAAAAATGTGAAAGAAGATGTGCCGAAGAGCTCATGACAGCGTCCTGATCAAAATCGCGGTGGCCCTGAGGAAACCTTTGGAGCAAACGTCAGTGATTTGGGGGATGGTGATTCTATTTTCTTGAAGTTTGATTCATTGAGAGGAGGATCTCGATACGAGAATCGCTCACTTCCAATCAAAATGGTGAACACGGTGGAGCGCCATCCAGCACTAGCAGACAGGATTCCGTATGACAAGCGTAATTCGATTCCCGCACATCTTTGCCGTGACGATGTCACCATTGATCACAATAGCTCACACTTATCCCCGATGACATCCGCCGCTTACCGCTAGGAAGTCTTCCGAAGCATCACCATCGAATTCATGCCATTGAGTTGGTCGTTCGAAATTACTGGCATAAATCCCGGAGGAGGGTAATTCATGAACCATTCCGAGAGCTGTCTTTGAATCGATGTCTCCGGTTATTTTTCAGTTGCATAAGGACACCGAAGGGTATCCGGGCAGTGAGCACGTCCCTCCCTCATTAAGTCGATGGGCGTTCCACTTCGTGAACTTCTACGTGTTACTGAGTATGGCGAGGGACCGCTTCCTCACTATGAATTTCACATCGTTAGTCGTGTCTCCTTCTCGTGGGAAGAGACTGCGCGTCTCCGCAGCGAGTTTCCGTCCCGGCCTAGACCGACTCGAGCTCATCCGATATCTGGATGTGTCCTCCTCGCTCGACGATACTCTGTCGACGATGCCCGGATCAACACAAGCAATGAAATCACGCAAAGAGCCTCTTCGGAACTAGTTTCTCTCACTCATCCGTTTCTGGCGACCCGATCAGCATAAGCGGCGAAGAAGGCATCATGTACCAGAAAGTACGACAATGAGCTTACTCATTTGCTTGAGAATGGCCCGGATGACTAAAATGATGATGAAACTTCCAAGGATGACGGCGCCCAGCCGCGTTCTCCCTTCCCTCAGCTTCAAACGTCCGTACCCGCCCTGCTGGAGAAGGCTCAGAGACGAACACGGCAGGGCAGCTGCCAGAGCACGAATACGCTCGGAGCTTCATCGAGCGGACTCGAATCTTCATTCCTGTCTTCTGAGTGTCAGCTGTCCCGTTTTGCAACTATCGAATGACGGGGTGAAGATCTCAAACCGCCGGTGATAGACAAAGAGTAATTGAGGGGGCAAGAAGAGTTTACGTGGGCATTCCACCGGTGGTTGCTCGCTCTTCCGTTCCCGAGGGTATATTTTGGAGCCTCAAATTACGTCTTTTGGCGGTCGGTCGACTGACGGTTATAAAGACGTATAAAAGCGTCACTTGATACCTCGTGTTGAGTGGCTTTGAGCGGCGTTCGCTCGCCCGTCTGTCGGCATGAAAGAGTCGTCTCCTTAAATGACGCTCTCCACGCAAGAAACGTCGCGGAATCCCTATATGGAAACAGCCTATTGTTGAAGGCGGATGCTGCGCGATTCGCGGAGAATGTCTCCGCACGGACAAAGAGCCATGGATGGAGAGGCAAAACGGTGTCAAAGAAATATTCCCAAGTCCGGAGAACTTTCAGCAAGGGAGTGCGATCTCTATCAATTCATGAAGCCACGCTCCAAGGGAAGGCTGAACAACAATTTAAGGAGTCGAGCGTAGTTTGACGACTCAGCGAACTTAATCTGCTCCCGCCACCTGATGCAATCGGAAGCCCAACTTCGTCTTCAGGCCAGCGAGTCAGCTGTCGGGCCGAACTCAAGTGGTCGAACAGAGCCAACAGACAAAAGTTCTAATGGTCCGCCTCCTTCTGTTGTCTGATTGAACAAACATTCTGAGCGAGAGGAAGGTCGCGAGACAGAGGAGTGTCCTTCTTGTTTACTAGAGGAATGCCCACCGGTCGCGATCGGACTTACTCGTAGGCAACGCTGCACGTCCCTTATCGCAGTCGAATCTGAAGGAGCCCCTTGTGCGCTAAATATCGAGCAAGCGGCCCGACTCCGCGCCTCAATTCGACATTGCGAGCTCATGATGATCCGAATTGCGTCGAGATGGGGCAGAACTCATGGGACGCTTGCGTCCCGATCGGAGTCCAATCAAAGGCCCTCATCACTGAATGAGTCATCGAGTCGAACTTCCGTCGGTCGGGTCATTGCGCTTTGGCCTGTCGGAAAGTAGACAGGCCGGCATTCGGATTGGTCAGGGTATTCATTTCCGTTTGAAACCCCACATGATGAATCCTACTTTCGTTGCCGCCAGCTCGGTCTAAGTCGAAAATTAGAGGCGAACTTCTGATCGTGAACATAGGCTCGAGTGCTCGAACCTGGTCGCCTACTCCCCATGTTGTTCGCATAGGGCGACTCGCGCTCGAGAAGGGCATTGATATCGAGGAACAACGATTCAAGATGACACGAACTAAATGCATGTCCGTCGCACGCTGGATCGAGCGAAAAAAACGTGAAGTGAGCTCAGAAAACGTAAAGTGAGCTCGAGTATCGCTCCGAGTCCGGCATCGGTTTCGAATAATATCGTCCGATATCCAGCCTGTATTCACATTCATCCGTTGGTCATGCATCGCTTTCATCCGGACCGCTACGGCGCTATTGATCCACTGTGAAATTGTCGTCACGCTGAAACAAATCGGTGAGACGATTCCTGCCAGAGAAGTCACTACTCACCATTTGGACTTCGGAAACGGTGCTAATACTGATTATCTGCATGGTAACTCCCACATCCACAGGAAGCCCTGGAAGCGTACAGAAGTCGATCAGGTTTTGATGATATGTTGCGGGTATCGATATACCTACAGCGAGGCATTCATCGACAATGACGAAGACTGACTGTATCGATTCAGTGAGTACGTAACCGGTTGGATCGGGATATAAACATATGGGTTAGCATGGAATTCGTAGGGTCGATCAAATTCAAACAGAGGCAGGAACTTCATCGGCGATCGAAGTTGAGTGTCATCTCCCAAGAGGCGCTCGTCGAAGAGACCTCGGGAGATCGTTCGAGGCCTACACGCGAGAAGTTCTCGGTGTTCGCAAATCAACTCAGCCTCGTCCGCCGTTATATCGGTGCGGTTCCTAGGAGTGACGCAGAAAGAAATCACGGAGCGAGAGCGGCCTTTCACGACGACGAATCACGAAAAGGACCCACGTCTCACCCCCTCGACGCGCCGTATTCGGGGATCTGACCGGAAGAGATTTTGGCAGAGCCTACCCACCTCGATGACGAGCACGGTTTCCCCACTCGATTCGCCCTTCCCTCGTCCATGCGAAAGAATTGAGAGATACAGGCACAACGAGACTGCCCAAATATGAGACACTCTCTACAATCAGTGTAATGACTTAAATCTCTTGTGATAAGCGTCAGGAGTTCAACCGTGGGTCTGATTGAGTATCGTTGCGAACTTTTTTCCACCGATGGCAACCCTGCTGTCCCATGCTGGGGCGTTGTGAATGTGTTTATGACGAGCAGAGCAGTCGACTTCGATGGTGCTGATCCGACCCAAGAGCTGTCAGAAACCGTCGGACCATGAACTTGCAGCCCGGCGCAAATAATCCGGCAAGGGGGGATCAGGTTAGAGCTCAATCGAGCTGTTTGGTTTTCCAAATCTCCGATCGGGGACACGACTGGAGATCAACGAAGAAAAATCGGAGAACAGCAGCTCAGCCGGTGTACACGAAGAAAACGAGTGAGCAGGAGTCAAGCTGGAACTCTCTGAGTTCCATCGAGCCACAATCGGGTATCGGTTCTGCTCCGATAATTATCGGCTTGCCGTGAGGAACAAATACGCGATCATGGCGTTCGCAGCGGTCAAGCAGCCTGCCTTAACGGCTCACTGCCTTGCTAGCGAGCGTGCGGGGGAACAAACGTTCCGGAACGCGATCTGAAGAAAATACCAGGACAGCCCTCCTCATTCTCTGCTACGCAACGATTAAGGAATCAGCAGTGATTTCTCTTTCCGCGGTCACCTGACCTCGGGAGTCAGCCGAATATCCAGATCCATTCGCGAAACTATCATCATCGGCGAGCGGTCCGAGTGGTAATCGATACGTGGTCCGCGAGAAAACTTGTACTTTGCCTATGGCTCCGCGGCCTCTCTCCCAATGCCGAAGTTTATTCCCCGGTCGACTGCTCCCTGTGTTTATGTTCATCGAGCCCCTTGGCCTCTCTCTCTCTCGCTCTACATCACCTTATCGCATGGCTAATGTTCATCATCCCGTTCTCAGCTGGGCCGTGCTGGGGATCGCACGTCTTGTCCTCTGGCGTACCACCGAGTGACCGACCCGATTAGACAGCTCTCATTCCTCTATACTTCAGCTGTTCCCTGGCTTTATGGCTTGTCCGGACCGGGGTCGGGGGATCGCTATATGCTGATAGAAGAGGAGAGCCGAACATCGAGGAGCTCATTCGAAGCTATGCACGGGGGGAATTACGGAGGCCGATCGGGCAGGATTGGTGAGCTCAAGTATTCGCTGGTTGGCATGTTCCTTGTAACTGACTACCTGAGTAGAGCGCTGACAGCTTCCGACCTCTCATGCTCACGAGGGCCCCGCGGTGGGCCCTGAGAGCGCCGGAATAAATTTTATATGAAGGGTGTGTCTATTTCTGCCTTTCCCTGCTCGACTGAGGTGCCTTTCGTAATATCAACGCGCCGTTTCTCTGGTCGACGACGAGCGAGTGCACGTGCGCTTCACCTTCAATTCGAGCGTACACCGCCTCGAGTCGTCATCGTATCGATACGTCGACGGCGGCGTCGTCCACACTGTCATCGAAATCGACGCTACTGCAGCCGCCGCCGCCGCCGCCGCCGTCATCATCAGTCCGTCGTCGGTCGGTGGTCGTTATGACCCACGACATTCGGTCTCTTCGATACAGCGATCGACCGCTGCGGGCCGTATTCGCCGCTACGATTCTCACTCTACAATTCTCGCCCGCATTTCTCTTTTCATTTCCGAACCGTCCTCCTTTTATCAATTTCCCGGCTGTTAGTCCCGGTGGCGCGAGCGCTCCTTCTCCGTCCGTTCGGCGTAACCGCGAGCAATCATTCTTCTGTTCGGCGAGTCGTACTGCGTACAAGGGGTATGTTGATGATGGGCTTTATCGCGACGTTCAATTTTGTCCCAATTCCTCTACGAAACGAGCGAGCGAGCGAGTGTGCGAGTTTTCATGTTCCTTTACGCAGAAAGCCAACGAGGTCCCGGACCAAAACATCAAGAAAGGATCGCTCGAAGTGCGGCCAATCGTTCACTTCTTGAGGGCTGTCGAGCTCGCCAAATGTGTTTTCGATAACCGCGCGTCCCTCCCGCCAACGCCCCTCCGGTATTTATTCGCTGTCCCCTGAGCCTTCTCCTGACTATAAATGTTCTCGACCACTTCCCGTTCAGTCGTTCATTCATTTCTCGTCGATTGCCGTGCGCACATCCGCCAGCGGAGAGCGGGCGGGAAGGTAACCTCGGGGCCAAGAGCGTTCAGTGGCGTTCCTTCTAAATGCTATCTCTATGACCGAGAAACGGCGTTGCGTCGTGATAGAAATATCGTCCCAAGGCCCATCGTCTCGCGCGACGGCGGCCTTGTGAATCTTCGGTGAAGAATTGCGAGGCAACGAAATCGTACCGTCTCGAAGAGCTGGATATTCAGAGCAGTTAGCTGTGAGCCCTTTGTCAGAGGCTGACACCATAAACTCGCTTCCGAGAGGCGACAAGGACATCCTCGAAGGAATGGATTCATTGCAGCTGTATAAACAGAACATGAACGGACGATCGCGGCAACGGGAAGCGGGGAAAGGACAAGGTTCGGAGAAGACAAACGGATTATACACGGCAAAGCAGCTTTCTCCAGGATATGCGTTCTGCAGTCGAGACTGCGGAAAATCTCGGTCAACTTCCTCACCGCTCTCAGATGCGTGCGGCAGATTTGCTTGGATTTCCGGTTTTGAGAGTCGTCAGAACTCTTGACTTGTTCCCTCGCTTCTCCATAGGTAGGAGGTCGAGAGAATGAGGCAGACGAGTAATCAGGAGCATAAAAAGAGCAAACGAGGAGTAGATGAGCAGCTGAAAACGAGCCCGAAGATTCGGGGAGGGGCGCAATTGTATCGACGGCTGTTATCGCCGGGAGCTCCGCTCCAGGGAACAGGCCCGGTGGCTGATGTGGCGGCGCCGCGCCGCCGACGACAACGACGTCAACGAAACTGTAGAAAGGAGTAAAAGGAGGACGGTGCGTAGATTCGCTTATGGCTCAGTGTCCCTCATATTTTTATTGCCTGCCGGCTCCTCCTCCCTTTCTTGTCGCCGGTTCCGTTACCGCTGAAAAGGAACGGATCCAACAACTACGGAACTATCAATATAAGCACAACGAACCGGAGGCGCAAAGGTTTTCTCCGCTGTCGCGATGCGCACCACTGTTGTATCATCATGGTTCATCCGAGAGAACGGAACTGATCGCTTCCCTACCTCAAAATACATCGGAGAGCCATCAAGCCCGATACAGCATTTCCGAAATAATTCTTCTTTCGGCGGGATTCTTCAATTGGAGAACATCATGAATCATGAATCATGACCCGACCCAGGGAGGGGGAATATGTCCCGACTGCGAACTCAGCTCGCAGGGCAGTCAAATGCTTAGCGAACTCCTACCGTGATTCGGGGAGCTATGTTGACGGATGCCGACGTCGGGAGATTATTGGATCAAGAGTAAATAACCTGATGATCACGGCTTCCCAAGGTAGAAATAGGAATCGATGTGCTCACTGATATGCTCGCGAGCGTTCTCTGATGTGAACTCACAGGGGACACACCATCGCGGCATCCGTTCGACTAAGGGCTGGAGCAGCCAGATCCTGACGGAAAATTGTTCGCGGAGATCGCATGGGCTCTGAGCTACTCAAATTCAAAATTGGTCTGTGTATGCATCTACCGCCTATATCCTGCGACGAGGGAAGTCGAAAAGCATGAAAAAAATACCCGGGGTGCCCGAGTCAGGGACTCGGGCGGTTTGTGGGCGTAGAGCTACGTGAACACGGAACACGTAGTTCCGTGAGTTCGAAGATCTGCGAAAGATTTTCGATACTACCCTCCGGTCGACGAAGGGTATCACGAGATTTCCTCTGGCCGTTGTTCAAAAGACGCTTTTTTAGTTCGAGGAAAACGAGATCAAAGAACTCAACTGCGGGAACGGGATTCGGTCGGTAGCAACCTTCGAAGACTTCGGCAAATTTTCTAAACTCAGAAATGTTGACGAATGACATCAAAATCTTCTTATTACTCAACCGACAAACTTCAATCGGATATACGGTCCGATATCAGCCGCGATTCGGACGGCAAGCGGTACGTGACCGAGTGCCACACTTCCTCGTGGAGGGTATAAGGATTGAAGAACATCGCGACTATGCGTATGAAAGGTACATTAGATTCCATGACCATGTCCGCCTAGGAGAAACGCTGCTACATGTCATGTAGCAATGTCAAGGAACAATCATTGCATGTCCGATGGAGGATTTTTCGAGTATCGCGAGGCCGCGCATCCGCATCTAGACGATGATGGGAATGAATTAGTTGAAGACTAATAAAATGAGGTTCTTAATGGAATGTCGAAACCTTAGAATGATCATGATTCGGCATTGTAAGGATGGCTTCCCTTATCCTCCTTTTCGAGACCATCACTGGGCGGCGGCACTCAAAAAAGAGAGCTCTTCATTCTGGAATGATTTGTCCCAACGCGATAGACACACTTTCATTCATT